GGGATATGGGCCTGGGGTGGAGATATGGGCCTGGTGTAGGGATATGGGCCTGGGGTGGGGATATGGGCCTGGGGTGGAGATATGGGCCTGGGGTGGGGATATGGGCCTGGGGTGGGGATATGGGCCTGGGGTGTGGATATGGGCCTGGGGTGTGGATATGGGCCTGGGGTGGAGATATGGGCCTGGGATGGAGATATGGGCCTGGGGTGGGGATATGGGCCTGGTGTGGAGATATTAACCTGGGATATATTGTTCTGGGGTAGAGATATGGGCCTGGGATATATTGTCCTGGGGTGGAGATATGGGCCTCGGGTGGGGATATGGTCCTGGAGAGGGCATATTGCCTCTAGTGGAGATAAGATTCTCCAGGTATGGACCTGGCCTTGGATGCTGGGCCTCTGCACAGCCAAGATCCCTGTTGTCTGGGGTCAGATGGGCAACGAGGCTGAGTTTACCTTCAACCTAAAAAGGGCCTGGCTGCCAAGGCACACAGCCCATTCGGGGCAGCAGGGCAGGCCTGGTGTGTGTGCAGATGGATCATCCATCATGCTCTTTCTTTCCAGGGTTCTTCTTGGTCCAGGGAGCCTGGCCACAAAAGGGTGAGTCCTTCCCCAAACCTTAGGGTGTCATCTTCCCATTAAGGGAGTTTCCTGAAACAGAAGAAAAATTCTGTGGGGAAGTCTCTCATAAACTAGGAAGAGGGGGCCCTGGGAAGCTCGGCCCACAGTTCTGACCCAGCCCTTCCCAGCCTTCCCTTCCCTTGGCTGAGTCAAGCTCCGTGGGGACTGGGGTGCTCCAAGCTGGGGTGTGCAGGGAGGAAGTCGTGTCACCGGCAGAGGAAGGGAGGGAAGCAGTGCTAGGAAAGGCCGACCCTCTGAGGACAAAGGTGTAACTCACACCCTCCAGCGTTTCCATGACGGTATGGGCTGCCGTGGGGCTGCTGTCATTCTACCAGAAGAGGTGGGGGAGCCACAGCCATGAGCTTCACATTCTAAGTCCTCTGATGGGGGCTCAGTTGTTTATTGTGGTTCACGCATTGGCCGATACTCCCTTCACAAAGGACGTGCCCTGCAGCCCATGTCTGCTTTGTGTTGTTTTATGTAAGTAGTTTTGCAGTATTAAAATCTACTAAGAGTCCCTTATTCAGCACTTGCTCACATTTCTCTGCTGATTCGTTTGTTGTAGGGAGACGCTATGTCTCTGCAGGATGGGTCTTTCCTGTAGCTCTGGACACCCAGGTGTGGTAGGAGCCCTAGGAACATGGAAAGGGGGAGAATCTTCTGAGCACTGGGAGTGCGGGGCAGTTCCACATCTTCCTCTCTAAGGCCATACCTCCTTCTCCCCCAGGTGGTCAGGACAAGCCCTTCCTGTCTGCCTGGCCCAGCGCTGTGGTGCCTCGAGGAGGACATGTGACTCTTCGGTGTCACTATGGTGGTGGGTTTAACAACTTCACCCTGTATAAAGAAGACGGGTTCCACGTTCCCAACGTCCAGGGCGTTATATTCCAGGAGAGCTTCCTCATGGGCCCCGTGACTGCAGCACATGCAGGGACCTACAGATGTCGGGGTTTTCACCCACACTCCCCCACTGGGCGGACGGCACCCAGCGACCCCCTGAAGATCATGGTCACAGGTCAGAGGTCTCCTGTCTGGGCTTCTCACTGTCCCACCTCCTGAATCCCAGAGCTTCTGGTGGGGTGTCCATCAGGGTCTGATCACCCAGGCCCTGACTGTATTTGGGGTAAAGGGGATTGAATACAGGGAAGTGGGTGCAGTGGTAGGAAGAATAACTGTCCCCAGTGATGGCCACATTCTCATCCCTG